TTGGACGCTCTAACTCCTCGTGTCCCCCCCGCCTCCTTCCAGACCCAGGGAGGGGGGAGGTAAACCTCCCGAGCAGGGAAAGGACGGAGGTTGGAAAAGGAAGCGTTCTAGACCACCTGCGCCCAGAGGGTTGGTGGGATTCCTCCTCCACCTCCTCATCCTCCTCCTCCTTCTCCTCCTCTCCGTCCCCGACACCCCGCTCCTGATCCTGCGTGTCATCCTCGTTTTTCTCCTCCTACATGTTTGTTCTCCTCCATCCCACTCCTCGCCCTGCTGTTCCACTTCTTGCGGCGGTTGTCCGTCACAGCGTGCGCCACGCGCTTCTTATCGGGTTCGGGTCGGACGGCAAGTTGCTCGTGCCCAGCCGGCAACGCGCGATGTCGATTCGCGCCAGTTGGCCAGGCCCCGCGGGCGGCCGCCCTCACGGCCCCGCTACACGATGGCACACGCTACTCGCGAGGGGGAAAGGGTACCAGTGACACGCCGCTGCGCGGAGCTGGTCAGCGCGTTACTCTTTCGTTGTTGTCCGCTGGCATGGCGTTTTTTGTTTTTTTGTTGTTTTTATACAAAAAAAAGGCACGTCGATGGGTTCCCCGCGGCAGCGCGTCATTGATACTCTCTTTCAGCGGCGAGCCCGGGGGAAGTGACAGGAGGTGGGCCTTCCCAGAAGGCGGCGGGGCTTTTCAGAAGCCCTCCGGCCTTTTGAGAGGGCGCCTCTGTCTTCGGAGAAGGCTTATAAAGCTTCTCAGAGCCCCCGCTCGCTGCTCCGTGGCTCGCCGCCGACTTTTCCCCCCCAGTTGCCAGGGTGAGGGCAAGGACGTCTGCCACCCTGCTGGGATTCCGACAGAGGGCGGCGGTCAGAAGCGCGGGTGTGATGGGGCCTGCAGCCCGAGCCCACGCTTCCCAGCCTGCACGCGTGCCTCTGGCCCACGCGTGTGGGGTTGCTGGTGCCGCGTGAGGTTGTCTCCCCCTTACCCCGTCACCCTCCGTGAGGGCATCCGCCCTTTCAGGTTCGCGGGGCGGTGGGCCCGCGCGCTTGCGTAGAGAAGTGCTCCTGTGCATGGTGCACGGCGCCGTGCTCGGGATTCAGTCCCCCTTCCTTGGCATCCGCCGCTGTGATTGTTTCAATCCGTGGCCCCGAAGGACCCGACCGCTTCCATGGTTGACGGCCCATGGGCCCGATAACGGCGCCCGAAGGCCGAAACCCAATAACAAGTTCTGATTGGAGAAATCGGATCGTCGAAGATCTAGGTTACACCCACGGTTGTCTACAGGGAAATAGTTGTCTTCTTCTACCCCCCCCCGTTTTCTCACGGCACGACCTGGCGAGGCATGTCACCGGCGATCCCATTCTTCTGGGAGCCCCAGATCAGCCGTACGGCGTCTTCTCCCGTGGCTCTCTTACTGGTGACCCTGGGCGTGCTGCGCCCACTGCCCGGAGGATCACGAGGACTTCGACGTCCTGCTGGTGGCCGACCCTCGCCGGCGGTGGTACTTCGACGCGGGGCCCCTGGGCCAGGCGGCGCCGCTGCTGCCGACGGCCTTCGGGGAGGCCGCCCCCCCGAGAGAGCCCGGCGGGGGGAGGTTCGGAGGCTCGGGCGCAGCGGCACGGCTCGGGACCCGCGGACGGTGCGGTGGCTCGTGGAGGCTTTCTCCGAAGGTTTTCTTGGCGACCCCTCCTCCTCCTCCTCCTCCTCCCCTCCTCCTCCTCCTCCTCCTCCTCCTCCTCCTCCCCCCCCTCCTCCTCCTCCTCCTCCTCCTCCTCCTCCTCCTCCTCCTCCTCCTCCTCCTCCTCCTCCTCTCCTCCTCCTCCCCCTCCCTCCTCCTCCTCCTCCTCCTCCTCCTCCTCCTCCCTCCTCCTCCTCCTCCTCCTCCTCCTCCTCCTCCCTCCTCCTCCTCCTCCTCCTCCTCCTCCTCCTCCTCCTCCTCCTCCTCCTCCCCCCTCCCTCCCCTCCTCGCCCTCCCCTCCTCGGGTCGCCTACGGCCACGGGGGAAACCGTCCAGTGGCTCGCGGGCGACAAACAGATCCGCAGCCGCGGCCTCGCGGGCCGGGCCCTCGGGCCGCGACCTCGCGGGTGCCCCGCGCGGAGCGCAGTATCCGTGCGGCCGCGTGTCCGCGGGATCGCGCCCTGGAGTCCAGCCCGCGAGGGCGCGGAGGCGGGCAGTGAGGTTCGCCGCTCGTAGGTGGCTGCACGGTGCGGTGAGTCCGTGGGGGGCTGGGGCCTGGGCCGGTCTCCGAGGACGTCGCGGGCGGTGGGGGCCTCCTGGGTTCCAAAACAACGGTGCGGTGACGGACTGTGCGGTGAGGTCTTTGGGGGTTTCGAGGCCACTGCACGGAATGTCACCACACCGGTGTGGAACCCCCAAAGGGTGGGAGGGATGGCTCCCCCTGACATCCTCGCGTCGTAGTCCAAAAACGCAACGGGAAGTTGTTGGCTGTTTTCGGCCTCTGGCGTCTTTGCTGGGCCCAACGCGAGGGTCAACAACGACTCAGGACGAA